AACCCTGATAGCAATCCCATTTTACAACAGTGGCACCATGCAATATTTGTCCTTTTGCGACTGAGATATTTCACTCAGCATAATGTCCTCCAGGCACAAATTTTTTAAGGTACTTATTTGTCATTTGTGTATCTTTGATAATGTCCATTCAGATCATTTGTCCATTTAAAAATTATGGGTTTTTTTATTCTTGAAATCAGGAATTACTTATATATTCTAAATAGTCTTTTATCAAATAAATGATTTGCATAGTTTTTCCTCCCATTCCTTGGGTTATATTTTAATTTTCTTGATTGATTTGGATGACAAAAATTTTTTTAATTTTGTGATTGCAGCACAGTTTTTACAACTACGCCACCAGAGCTAGCATGGAAATCCCAGAACACTTGATTGTGCTTATGTGAAACCTATATTTGGGCCTGGAGGCAGTTGTAAGAACTGAGTAAGGAAACGTTGTTGTTGTTGTTATGTGCCGTCGAGTCGCCTGTGACTCATAGCACCCTATGTACAACAGCCCTAAACCCTGCTCTATCCTGTGCCAATCGCACTGCCTCCGACACACCAATCCCAATTACCCCAGTCACTGAATCAATCCATCTCATAGAGGGTCTTCCCCTCTTGCGCCATCCCTCCACCCTCCCAAGCATGATGTCCCTCTCCAAGGACCTGTCCCTCCTTGCAACATGCCCAAAGTATGTCAGACGAAGCCCCAGCATCCTTGCCTCCAAGGAGTAGCCTGGTTTAACCCTCTCCAGGATGAATCTGTTTGTTTTCTTGGCAGTCCATGGTACATTCAATACTCTTCTCCAGCACCACAGCTCAAAGGCATCAATTCTCCTTCTGTCCTCCCTAGTCATTGTCCAACTCTCTAATGCATAACAAGTGATTGCAAAGACCATGGCCTGTATCAGGTACACCTTAGTTTCCAGAGAGACACCATTGCTCTTGAGTACTTTAGAGAGGTCCCTAACAGCAGACTTTCCCATCGCAATACTTTTTTTAATTTCCTGGCTGCTGGTGCCAAGAGTGTTGACTGTGGAGCTGAGCAAACTGAAGCTGTGAACAATCTCAAATCTCTTCACCATCCATCCTGATGCTACCAATTGGTCCAGTGGTGAGAATCTTTGTCCAAAATTGGGAAGGGCGTGTGCAAGGGATGTATCTTATCTCCATCCCTTTTCAATCTACATTCAGAACAGATCATCCAGACAACTGGATATGGTGGACTGTGGCACCATGATTGGAAGAAGACTCATCAACAGCCTGTGTTATGCAGATGACACAACCTAGCTTGCTGAGGAGGGCTGGAGGCATTTGCTGCAGAAGGTCAGGAACTACAGCCTTAAATTTGGATTGAAGGTCAACATCAAGAAAACAAGGGTTCTAACCACTGGGCCAGCCAATTGGCAGTATCATGATAGATGCTGAAGAGATAGAGATTGTTGACAGATTGGGACCAGCAGCCATAAAATAAAAAGACTAATAGCACTGAAAAAATCTGCTGTCAGGGACCTCTCCAGAGTACTGAAGAGCAGTGATGTCAGTCT